TAAGGATGAAAGGAGAGAACCAGCTTCATGAAACTGTCCTCTGACCTCCACATGCTTGTCACTCCCCTCCCCAGTAAAAATAAGTTAAAATTAGGGCTGCGTGTTGGTGGTGTATGCACTAGGGAGACACAGGCAGGTAGATCTCTGTGAATTCAAGACCAGCCTAGTCTAAGAGTTCCAGGACAGGCTCCAAAGCTATGGAGCAACCCTGTCTTGAAAAACAAAAACAAACAAACAAACAAACAAACAATAATAACAACAAAAAACCCCCAGAAAATAAGTTGTAAAAAACAAAATAAAATAACTATTTTAAGTGTATGGGTGTGTACCATGTGCATGCCTGGTGCCCACAGAGGCCAGAAGAAAGTGTTCATTTCCAGAAACTGGAGTTACAGACAGCTGTGAGCTACCATGAAGGGGCTGGGAATTGAACCTGGATCCTCTAGAAAAGCAGCCAGTGTCCACTCCCCACCCACATTGGTTTTGTTGTTGTTGTTGTTTTGTTTTAAGACAGGGTTTCTCTGTGTAACAGCTCTGACTGATGGGGAACTCACTCTGTAGACCAGGTGGCCTTGCACTCACAGAGCTCTGCCTGCCTCAGCCTCCCAGAGTGCTGGGACTAAAAAGGTGTGCACCACCACCTCCCGGCAAATATTGCCTTTTATTTTTTTTAATATTTTATTTATTTATTATGTATACAATCTTATGCACACCAGCAGAGGACATCAGATCTCATTCAAGGTGGTTATGAGCTACCATGTGGTTGCTGGGAATTGAACTCAGGACCTCTAGAAGAACAGTCAGTGCTCTTAACCTCTGAGCCATCTCTCCAGCCCCAATATTGCCTTTTAAAAAGCAGCATCTTAGCCGGGCGTTGGTGGCGCACGCCTTTAACCCCAGCACTCGGGAGGCAGAGGCAGGAGGATCTTTGTGAGTTCGAGGCCAGCCTGGTCTACAGAGCGAGTTCCAGGACAGCCTCCAAAACAATACAGAGAAACCCTGTCTCGAAAAACCAAACCAAAAAAAAAAAAAAAAAAAAAAAGCAGCATCTTATGTCTCTTGTCTTACCCTCTCAGGTTCTGGAATTACAGGCATGTGTCACTATGCCTGGTTTACGTATCACTTTTGAACTAGACCAAGATCTTGTGTTTTCTAGCTTATATGAAAAGTTCTTCTCAGTTTTATTTTGTATAGATTTTTTTTTTAGGTTGTGGTTACCTTTTGGCTCATCTGCATGTTTAGGCTATGTTTTATATTTCAGGGTTTCTTGGTATTTTCACTTTTTTGACAGTTATTACATTACATAGTCTGGCTTGGAACTCACTAGGCTAGCCTCAGGCTCTCAATCTTCTTGTCAGCTTTATGTCATGAATCTGGGAGAGGTTTTTGAGACCTTATCTTCCCCTGAGGATTAGTAGTAACTGGGGAAGGGGTGGCTCATGAGAGACATTCTCTTCAATGGTATAGCGACTGGTAAGGTGCCCATGTACCTTAACTCTTAACTCTTAACCCATAGTACCTTAATCCCTGGCCCTAGTGAAACTACACACACACACACACACACACACACACACACACACACACACACACACACACACGACATGAAAGTAGAAGTTGAACTAGTAGTAGCAGGATGGAGATGTGTGAATGTGATCAAAATACATTAAATGGGTTTTGGCAAGATGGCTCAGAGGTGAAGGCATTTGTCATTAAACTTGGCCAATGAGTTCAGCCCTCCAGATCTACGTGGTGGAAGGAAAGAACCAACCTCTTTTTTTTTTTTTTTTTCTTTTGATTTTCCAAAGAGGGTTTCTCTCTGTAGCCTTAGAGCCTATTCTGGAACTTGCTGTGTAGACCAGGATGACCTCGAACTCACAGAAGAACCAACTTTTGCAAATTGTTCTCTGACCTCCACACACGAGGCTAGCATATGCATAAGTGCAGGGGGAAAAAGGTGCAATCAATATACAGTTAGCATTTTTCTCATACTAGTTCTCTGAAATCAACTGTGTATTTTATGTTTACAACACATTCTAATTTGGACTTGCTATGTTTAAAATGCTCAAAAGACTCATGTGAGCCCTGGAGTTCATGGCTAACCCAGTCAACATAGCAAGACTATCTCAGACAAGACAAAATAAATAAAGGACAGAGGTTATATAGAATATATGTCTAAGGCCAAAAATAAAATAGTTCTGTTCTTGTCATCAGATCAGTGACCCAAGACCCCGGGTATGCAACATTAATCTTTCCCACTCTATATGAGGGAAAAGAAAAAAATGTAAAACTCTTGAATATAAAACTGAATAAGTTAGCTGGGCGGTGGTAGTGCAGGCCTTTAATCCCAGAATTTAAGAGGTAGAGGCAGGTGGATTTCTGTGAGTTCAAGTCCATCCTGGTCTACTGAGCGAGTTCCAAGACAGCCTTCAAAGCTACAGAGAAACCATGTCTCAAAAAACAAAACATGAATAATTAAATTGTTCTTAGGATTAAAAAAAGGAAAACTGGCACTCAGAGTAAGGAACTTTAAAGTCCCTATTTGGTGGGTGATGTATAATGTATAAGGAAGCCCTGGCGGTAGCACAAGGCACTGCCCAGTAAAACTGATAGCTCAGTACTAAAGAGTTTGAAAACACATCCACAAAAAACTCTTATATTTTTGGTTGTGAGCCTAGCCTTTAACGGCTGAGCCATCTCTCCAGCCCCACAAAAAACTCAAAGACTGAGTGAATTACAAATGAAAAATTTATGAAGTATGTCTCAACATACAAGAAAGAAACTCAAGAGTGAGTTTGCAGAATTCAGGCAACCACAGGAGGCAGCATGTCAAGTTTTAAGAGTGAGGACAATCCTCCTGAAGCAGGGTTAGATCAGCTTCTTCAGGGTTTCCACTCAGGAAGCCATGCAGAGTCAAGGAATGTGCTAATAGTTGGTGGTGGTGGCATACATCTTTGATCCCAGACTCCAAAGCTACAGAGAAATCCTGTCTCAACAACAACAACAACAGGAATGTGCTAATAAAATGTGTAGAGCACATATGCCTGCAATCCCAACACTGAGGCAGGAAGACCCAATTTGAGGCCAGCCTAGTGTGAGTATGAGACAATGTCTCAAGAAAAGAAAAGAGACTTAAAGACTGCAGAAGAAACTACAGAAAAAAAAAAAAAGAAAGGTGAAGATCATGGCCAAAGACCTATTGCTCATTTCTTACTAATCTGCTTCCTCACTGCCCCTAACACTCATAGACTGCCTCTGACTTTGAAACAGTCCATTAGCTATCATTTAAAATAAATGCAAGATTCAGCCCCTGGGTACAACACACATCTCTAGGAGGCTAAGACAGAAAATGGTTGGTTTCAAGACTAGCTTACATAGGCCAGCATGTTACAGTGAAAATGATAGCCCAGGGAAGAAAAGCTTCACCCATTTCATGTAGAGGCTACTAGACTTGCAAATGAAGACAGAATTCTCCTCCCTGTGCATGCTTAGGCAGAGAAGCCAAATGGCATAACAGTGTAACTGGCCACTGTTTGTCACAACCACATTTTTGTGGCCCAGGGAGCAAAACCACAAGATACATAGAGAACAGAGTCTCCGGTGAAGTAGAGTATCTAGAGAGGGATCTCAGCCTTTGAGAACCATAATGGGTGTTGACAAGCCACCTTAGGCCATCATTTACTCTGACCTCTCAGAAGCTTGCTCCTGCAACAAGGGAAAATGTGTGATGTCACCCAACACAATTAGAGCACAGGTCACAAGTTGGTGGAACTGTTTGGGAAGGATTAGGAGATGTGATCTTGTTAGAGAAGGTATGTCACTTGAGGACAGGCTCTGACATTTCAAAAGATTGAGCCATTCCCAGTCTCCCCCTCTCTGTCTGCCTCCCATCTGTGGATCCAGATGTAAGCTTTTAGCTGCTCCTGCTGCATGCCTTTGTTTGGCCATCGTGGATGCTCCCTCTGAAACCAAAAGCCCCAAGTTAAATGCTTTCTTTTATAAGTTGCCTCAGTAATGGTGTCTTTATCACAGCAATAGCAAAGTAACCAAGACAGTAACATATACTGACTATATATAATAATGAATTTCATTGTGTTTCTTTTTTTTTTTTTTCAAGACAGGGTTTCTCTGTATTGGTTTGGAGTCTGACCTGGCACTCACTCTGCAGACCAGGCTACCCTTGAACTCAGAGATTCTCCTGCTTTTCTGCTTCCTGAGTACTGGGATTAAAGGCGTGCATCACCAACGCCCAGCTTTCATTGTGATTCTTTCATGTGTGCATATAGTTTTTTTGGTTTTGTTTTGTGGTTTTTTTTGTTTGTTTGTTTGTTTGTTTGTTTTTGTTTTTCGAGATAGGGTTTCTCTGTGGCTTTGAAGGGGCTGTCCTGGAACTAGCTCTTATAGACCAGGTTGTTCTTAAACTCACAGAGATCCACCTGCCTCTGCTTCCCCAGTGCTGGGACTAAAGGTGTGGGCCACCACTGGCTGGCTGCATGTAATATTTTTTTTTTTTTTGGTTTTTCGAGACAGGGTTTCTCTGTGGCTTTGGAGGCTGTCCTGGAACTCACTTGGTAGACCAGGCTGGCCTCGAACTCACAGAGATCCGCCTGCCTCTGCCTCCCGAGTGCTGGGATTAAAGGTGTGCGCCACCTACGCCCGGCTCTGCATGTAATATTTTTAATGCTTATTTTTTATTGGAGATGGGTAGAAATGTCTAAGTGTTCTTTCTCCTTCTACCCTGTGAGTCCTGGAGACTGAACTCAAGTTCTTAGGATTGATGGCAAGTGCTTTTATTCTCTGAGCTCTTCTTGTTGGTCCTTGATAATATTTTGAAATAATAGCTTAGATATATTGAGCTAAAATTAAACATTTTTTTGCTTTTTTGCAGCTTTGACTGTCCTGGAACTCACTAGGTAGACCAGCTAGCCTTGAATTCACAAAGATCCACCTGTCTCTACTGGGATTAAAGGTGTAGATCATCATGCCTGGCTGTGTTTTGTTTTAATTTATATAATTTGGTTACTAGAAAATCCAGCATTACTTATTTGTCTTGCAACATATTCCTGATGGACAGTGGTAGTCTAGAAAGTTCAGCAGTGTCAACAGATGTTAAGACTTTCAGCTAGTTCAAATAGCATTCACAAGAGGTAGTAATTGAATAGTTTGCTCATAGCTTCCTTGGCCTAGTTTTAAAAAGAGCCTGCAGAGTTGGGATAATAATGACATCATCTTCATCGGTGGCTCATGAGGTAAGATATAGTTCTACTTGGTGCTTAGTTGAAAATCGCATCAATTGGCATTATTTTATGGGTTCTTGTTTTGATATTGAGTCAGTTGAATACGTTTTAAAAATGGGTTGTAGATCAGATAATCTTGTAAATTTACTTAGAAGCAGAACAAGCCAGATCTTCCTGGCCACGAGGAACTTAGTCACTGAATGAAATGCAAACAAGACTGGGAATGTGGTTTGTCACTGAGCAGCAGATCACTGCCCAGTAGCTCAGAAGAGACAGTTGCTGTAGACTTGTGCTGCTTTGTGTTTTCATTTCGTAGTTTAGTTTTTTCCCTACATATCCTGGCTGTCCTGGACCTCACTACATAGACTGTGCTGGCCTTAAACACCTCTGGACTGTTGAGATTAGAGGTCTGTGCCACCACACCTGGCGTATTTTATTTTTTATGCTTTGTGGCAGGGGTGAGGACTCAGGTATCTGCACATGAGCCCAGGTGCTTGCAGAGGCTAGAGGCATCAGATCCCCTAGAGCTAGAGTTACAAGCAGTTGGCTGCCTGACTTGGGTGTAAGAACTTGAACTCAAGTTTTCTGCAGCATGTACTCTTAATCCTTTAGCCCTTCAGCCATCTTTCTAGTCCCTTCTGTTCTTTTAGAGTCAATCCTGTGATCCCCCAGAAACCTTTGCATGGCAGTGGAGGGTGGATGGGGTGTGTAAGGGATCCTATATGGGAGACATTACCCTGCATTTCTCATCTGTGGGCCTCATGCTCTTTTCAGCTAGGAAGTGAGATGGTTAAGTTGGCCCCAGGCAGACCTATGCACTTATTGACTGGGCTTTGATAGCCTGCCCTGAAACTGAAATACTGACTTTTGTTATTCACTCAGGAGCTAAAGAAACTGTGCCAGTGCCTTTCAATTTTGTCTTTCAAATATGAGCGAACAAAACTGAAAGAAGAAAAACAAATGGAATAAGCTGCCTGTCTTCTGTGAGATAGATGCAAGGCCTTTGAAAAGCTACCCCATGTTGTCTCAGTGTTTTCAATGGCCATGGCCCAGCAGCTCAGGTTACATGGCCTCTTCCGTATTGGGAGCTGGGGCAAATGACACAGCATAACCATGCAACCACACTTACATAACCATGACTTGGGAGACAGAATTAAGCTGTGAATGAACTGCCCAGGACCAAGGAGATGGTATTAGAACAAAGTCTGACTTCTGTCAAGCTTGACTTGACAGTCATCAGCAGGACTCTCAGAGCCTCAGCTCATGCTAGCATGGTTTAAGACAGAATCTTCAGAGTGCAGCTGTTGTCAGGTAAGGGGCTGAGCCCTTTTGCTTCTGTTTGCTCACAACTGTGCGGCTGAGCTCAGGTTGAGATTTGCTCATCTACACTAGCCTGATTGTGGATACTTAGTTTTAAAATCCCTCTCCTGGCAGGGAAGTTTCATCGCAAATTCTTTAACTCAGGTTGAGAATAAAGAGGTGTTTCCAGTTTACAGATGGAAAGAGCAACCTTCGAAGCACCTGAGCCGAGTGTAGTGTGGTTTGCTCAGGGCAGCTCACTGCTGCACGGGAGTGGAGGAACTACAGCATGACAGGAGTGATCCTATCACTCCACCGATGGCAGATAGTTTTACTTTGGTAAAGACGGAGCCAAAATCACTTTCCTTTCACTTTTGAATCCTTTCCCTTACTGGTATTTGAAATCTAAGCCATTGGTAGAACCCCGAAAGGATGAAATTAGAAATGACTAGTAGTCTCAGGTTATAAATGGGAATACTGAGGTCTGGTAAGGGCTAGATAAATTATTCCAGGTTGGTTAGCTGAGGCAGAAACCACACATTTCATTTCCCAGATCAGCTTCTCGTACTGTTTTCCTGAGTCAAAACTTTGGGTTTTTGTTTTTGGATCAGTCCTTCAGGTAGCTCAGGCTGGCCTTGAACTCCCGATCTTCCTGTTTTAGCAGTCTGTGTGCTGGGATTACTAGTGTGAGCCACCCAAACCTACCTAGAGGCATGACTTTGGTTTTGGTGTTTTTTTTTTTGTTGTTGTTTGTTTTGTTTTTGTTTCCTTTTTGATTTTTCCGAGACAAGATTTCTCCATATAGCCCTGGCTATCCTGGAACTTGCTTTGTAAACCAGGCTGTCCTGGAACTCAGAGATCCATCTGCCTGCCTCTGCCTCCCGAGTGTTGGGATTAAAGGCTTGTGCCACCACCCCGGCCAGGCATGACATTTTAAAAAGGAGAGTTTGGGCCTGGGGTATGGTTTGATTGGTAGAGTTGCTTGCCTAGCATGCTCAAGGCCTTGTCTGACCCCCAGCACTGGTGTGGTGGTGTATGCCTGTAATCCTAGCACTCTGGAGGCTAAGGCAGGAGGACGGCTGTGTATTCAAGGCTAGGCTGGACCGTGTAGTAAGGCCCTGTTACAAAAGAAAGGTTATTCTTTTGGTGTGGCCAGGAGAGATGGCTCTAAAGTTAAGGGCACTTGCTGCTTTGGCAGAGGACCTGGGTTCAATTCCCAGGACATGGCTGCTCATGACCATGCCTAACTCTTGCCTGACCTTTTTTTGTTTTTTTTGTTTTGTTTTGGTTTTACAAAACAAGGTTTCTCTATTGTTTTGGAGGCTGTTGGTCTAGCCTAGCCTCGAACTCACAGAGATCCGCCTGCCTCTGCCTCCCGAGTGCTGGGATTAAAGGCGTGCACCACCACCGCCCGGCTTGTCTGACCTCTTTAGGCACCAAACATGCACATGGTGTATACACATACATGCAGGCAAAATACCACATGTAAAAAATGGTAAATCTAAAAAAAAAAATTCAGGGCAAAAAAAAAAAGAAGTTCTTTCCTGCCTCTGCCTTCTGAATGCTGGGATCAAAGAAATGTACCATTACTGGCAGGCTTTTTTTTTTTCTCTTAATTTGAGCATAAATTACTTCATTTTTGTTTGGGGCCCTGTTTATTTTGATGAAGTATATATATATATATATTTTTTAAAGATTTATTTCTTTATTATGTATGCAGTGTTCTGTCTGCATGTATCCAGAAGAGGGCACCAGATTTCATTACACATGGTTGTGAGCCACCATGTGGGTGCTGGGAATTGAACTCAGGTCCTCTGGTAGAGCAGCCAGTGCTCTTAACCTCTGAGCCATCTCTCCAGTCCGAAGTGTATATTTCAATGGTATCAAGTCACAGAGAATGGGGGAGGTTGATTTTATTAAAATAGATAACTCACATAATAAAACCTTTCAATCATGAAACTTTTCAGACGTGGGGAAGTAGAAGGAATAGGGCCATTGCCGACTTGAACCGAGAGTGACCAGCTTCTTTACACGCATGTCTTGCTCTTGCCAGTAAAATGCCTTCTTGCTTTACTGAACATCAAGTACTTTGGTTTTAAGATTTATCTTTCCCTTCCCTGACTCCTCTTTCTTTTTATTTTGATTTTTTAAGACAGGGTCTCACTATGTATCCTAGCCTGGCCTTGAACTTACTGTGTGGTGGAGAATGACTTCTGGTTTTCCTGACTCCACCCCCTGTCCCTTCAGAGTGCTGGAGTCACAGATGTGTGCTTCCACGCCGGTTTATGTGGTGCTTCCTGTGTAGTTGGCAAAGCCTGCACTGAGCTCCACCCCGGTCAGGATAGGTTCATGCTCACGATGGGAAGAGGAGAGCAGTTACTCTAAGACGTGGGCAGCATCTTCACCAGGGCTTCCACGGTGCTGCACTCTTCTCTCTCAAGCCACTAGGGCAGGGACTGGCAACTGCGTGTGGTCTGGGCCTAGAAATGGCTCACTCCTGTCATGCTGCTTTAGTTGTGTTGGCTGGAATCCGGTCATGTGGTTGACTGAAGTGCCATCTGAGTCCAGGAGGAAGGAGAAGGTGAAACAGGGTTTGTGAATGGACAGGCCGGGCCGCTAGCTCACAGCCCACCCACTCATCACAGTTTGTCTTGAGTCCTGTCCTGGATAGAAAGAACAAAACAGGGAGCCAGCGAGATGGCTCAGTGGCAGGGTCACCTGCGCCCAAGCCTGACTTCAGTTCAATCTCTGGTGCAAGGAATGTGAGAACTGACTCCCACAATTGTACTCTGACTTCCACTGTGGGGTGTGAATATGTGTGTGTGTGACACACACAAATAGGTGTAATGAGAACTAAAAACAAAACTGAGTAGAATAGTTTTCATTTTCTTAGGGTTAGAAATCATTAGATTTTTTTATTCCTGCCTTTTAAGTTCATTTTATCTACTTATTTATTCATTTATTTATTTATTGAAACAGGTTTTCTCTGTGTGTCCATGACTGTCCTCGAGCTTACTCTGTAGACCAGGCTGGCCTTGAACTCACAGAGATCCGCCTGCCTCTGCCTCTACCTCCGCCTCCCGAGTGCTGGGATTAAAGGCGTGCACTACCAATGCCTGACAATTTATTTTTATTTTATTGAGTGTTTTACCTGTATGCATATGCTTGTGCACCCACCACATGTGTGCAGTGACTACAGAGAACAGAAGAAGGTGTTGAATTGCAATTGGAGTTGAAGATGGCTATGAGCCTACATGGAGGTGCTGGGAATTGAATCTGGGTCCTCTGGAAGAGATGCTGATGCCAGTGCTTTTAACTATTGAGCCATGTCTCCAGCCCTTTTAACAATATTGAGGGGGGGAGGGAGGAAGGGAGGAGGGAGAGAGAATCAAAAGAGAGAGAGAAGAGAGAGGAGAAAGGGAGAAAACCAAAATGAAATTTTTAGGCTTGAGGAGTTTAGCTCGGCAGTAGTGTTTGCCTGTTATACAAGAGTACTAGCTTTGCTGCTCTGTGCTGCAAGAGTAAAAGAAACAATGAAATGTGAATGGGGTGTAGTGGCTCATGTCTCTGATCCCAGGACTTCAGAAGGAGGGTGGTGAGTTTGAGGACAGCCTAGGTTATAAAATAGAGTAGCAGATGAGACAGTTAGAAAAAGAAAATCATAAGATAAAGCAAAGAGATATATATTACCTTTATTCTGTACTGGGTTGTAAGCTCTAAGAGTCAGAAGGGAAGTAGCTGGCCATTCTGCCCGTTTCCAGTGAGATATGATATTCCAGAGCTGCAGTGCGGCTGCAGGAAGTTTTGGCATTTTAAAAATGAACTTGTAGTGGAAGAGGAAGTAGAATGGGGGTGGCAGGCAGAGGGGAGTCAGAGATTGAGAGAAGAGGGAGAAGAAACTGCAGTCAGACGTAAAGTAATTAATTAATGAACTCGTTCCACATTTTAATCTTTACTCCACTTGCTTGTAAACAATACATGTTAGGCCTGGTGGCTTTTCAGTGTACCAGAGTGGCTGGGAAAGGGCGACAATCATTTTAAGCTTGTGACTTACTTCCTACTCAATTTTCTAGGACAAAAAGAAAACAGTGTTTGTAACTGAACCAAAATAACAATGTGCAAACTGGAAGACTGTGTCCCTGTGTTACTGGTTTTGAGCGCTCTCTCTCCTCTCTCTCTCTCTCTCTCTCTCTCTCTCTCTCTCTCTCTCTCTCTCTCTCTCTCTCTCTCTCTCTCTCTCTCACTCTCTCTCTCGTGTTCGTGCACGCTCACCTGTGTTGCTTCTGCCACTCAGCAGTAGAAAGTGCTGCTGTCTGGTAGGAGGAGGGTGTCTGGAGACAAAGTACATATACTTTGGGCTTCAGCTCCAGGTTCAGGAATGTGGAACCTTCTCTTTTTTTTCTTCTTTAAAGTGGTGAGACTGGAGAGGCAGACAGACACATCAGAATTCCCATTTGTGAGGTCACCAGTATGACCTCACTCACAGTCAGAGAGTTCAAAATGTCTCCTGGCTTCTAGGAAGATGTTACCTGAGGCCTGGCCCGATTCCATAGACACCATGAGGTACCAGTCTGTCCTCTGTTAGTTTATTTGGGTTGAATTTTCTACAGTTCTATAGATACAAAGTAGAAACTGATGTCTCCACTTTTTTATATTTATGTATTCAAATTACACAGTTTGAAGACTTATATAACAGTAAGAAAATCGCTGTGGCTCTCACTGGCAGGAGGGTGAAAAGTAGAAACCTCAGAAGATGAGCAGCAGTGTGCTTTTACTCTGAGTGGCTATATGGGCTGAACGATGCCCTGTTATGTAATTTGCCATCACATTTCTCTGCAAATAGACATAATATTTTTAGTTGTGTGAAAATACGTCTTTAACATCAGGCAATAACAATTTGGAATGGCTAGATCTAGTTATCAGGAGTATAAATAACTTATGACCTAAGTCAGACACATGACAGTTGGGAAGCTGTCAGCATTGGGTTTTGATTATTGTCTTACAGGTGGAGC